CCCGCTGCAGCCCCGCCCCGCCTCTGAGTCACCCCGCCGTCGCCCCGCCCTCCCTCTGGTCCGGGCGCCACACCTGCGTCCCGGCTTTCGCTTCTGGTTCCTCACAGGCTCCCGTCTCCACCGTGCTCTCCGAGGTCCATACTCCCAGAGCTGTGGGGCTCTGCCCAGGCTATTGCCGTTTTCTATGTTGGTTTCCCGAGGGGCTACCCCTTACTTCAATTTCTTTATTCCCAGGGTCTTGCACAGAGTCAGCATCCGTTCACTCCCTCACCCGCTCTTTTATTCATTTAAGCCAGTGTTTCCCGAAATGTGGAGTTTGGCATCACGGGTGCTACAAAGGCGATTTTAGGTGGTACATGTGCCCCGACCTGATTTCTGTCTTTAAAAGACTCACTCTGGGCTGCTGTGTGCAAACAGGCGGCAGGGGAGGTGACCTGGAGGCAGAGGCCAGTGGGGAGGGACGTGGTGACCAGGGGAGAAACGGTGGTGGCTTGGACCAGGTTGGACCAGGTTGGTAACGGGAGGTGGCAAGAATTACTGGGTTCTGGGTATATTTCGGAGGCAGATGAAATCTAATGGTGAATTACATCATTTTCATGGATAGGCAAATTTCATTTTTAAAGTTGCAAATATTCTCCAAATTAACCTATAAAGACAGTGCAATTCCAAGAAAAATTCTGACATCTCCAGTGTGTATAACTTGACAAAGTGGCTGGGAAAATGTATATGGAAAAATAAAGAGCCAGAAATAGCCCAAACAGTTTTGAAGGAAAAGAGCAAAGTGGAGTGACTCACCCTAGAATTACAGAGGTAGTGTGTTTGTGCAGGGCCGACAGATAGCTTAGCGCACCAGAGCGACCAGGTGAGGGCCTGTAGGCATAGAAACCTGCTATGTGCTGGCATCCCGGGCAGGGGAAGGTTACATAGTCATTAAATGATACTGAAGCAATTGAATATATCACCTATGGGAATGTGTCCCCGCATATGCACTTAACTCCAGTCTGATTAAAGACCCAAATATGAAAAACAAAGCTTACAAAGTTTTAGCAGACAATAAGGAAGGTATGTTTATGGCCCCAAGATAAAGAGGCATTCTTAAACACAAAAAGTAAAAAATATAAAGGAAATATTGAAAAGCTTCATTAAAACTCAAAAATGCATACTCATCAATGACACCATAACAGAAATGAAAGAGTTCACAGATTGGGAAGGAATATTTTCAATACCTGAATCTGGTAAAGAATACATCTCCAGGAAATAGAAAAACATTCCCAAATAGTAAGGAGAGGAACAACCCAATAGCAAAACGTACAAAAACATGAACAGTTGCAGTTCACAGAGAAAGAAAACCAAATGGCCCCGTTACATTAGAAAAGATACTCAGCCTGCTGGTAATTCGGGCGCCGAGCGTGGTTTCACAGATGTTCTTTTCGTGGCCCTCCCCATCCTCAGAGTTCCCATGAATGTTCGGCCAGTTTCTGTTCTTTACCATACCTTATGCCAAGCGTTGTGCTCAAAAAGTTTTTTTAAAAAGGTTCTACCCTCAAAGAATTTATTGGCAAAGGAGATAGACATGTAGACAAGCAGTTACAGTAAATGGTTACAATTCAACATGGAAACTGCAACAGTATGTGGGCTCTAAAGCTTC